TCTAAAATTATGATATAGGTTAAAGTGAAAAACTCTTTAAAAAATACAACTTTAAATCAAAAGGTTCTAGTCATCGGGGAGCTTCCCCGGTGACCAGGCAGTTGTGAGTTAAATGCACGAGAGAGAGGACAGAAGAACCAAGGCTAAGAAGTAAATCCACATTTTTGAAAGGAGTATCACTACATCTCCAGATCTGCAAAAAGTGGAAGGAAATTAAAATTGCAAGGGCAGTTCAAAGAAGATTAATTATTTTATATCTGTCTCAAGAGCAAATAGCCAAACAGGGGAAGATATGCTAACCGGGGTAATCACCCTGCAGGGTAATCAGGAGAGGATTTGGGGGTGTTGTGGAATCATGCAACCTTCATCTTGGGGTCCAAGGCAGTGCTGGATTAAATTTCAAAGGGCAAGATGCATAAGAAGAGGCACAGTAATTACCACAAAGCCGTGGTTAGGGTCTAGGAGGAATACTTTTACAATATTGATCACCCTGGACACAAAAGATGTTGTTGCCTCAGAGAGGGGGCCACGGTGTTACAGCAAAACACCAATTCCGCTAGATCTCAAGAAAACACATTTTGATGAGGAAAAGGTAAAAGCAAACAGATCTTGGTCACACATGGGAAAAATACTTAAATAACTGATTTCAAAATATCAAGATAAAGGAATCACAGAGTGCTCAATGTGAAAAGGGAAAATGCCTATGAGTGAGCAAGGCATTTCAATACATGGCCCTTCTCTGCCAAGGGTATTCAAGTGAAAAAAGAAGATGAAAGGGAACTCAATACCCAGTTAAAAAAATAACTGTGGGTCAAGAGGACAATTGTTTTTCACAGAATACTAGTGATTCACATAAAAACAATTCCCTAAGACAGGGAGGGAAAAAAAAAAGACTAGCATAGCGCCTCAAGTAAGCCTGAGATTTCACAATGAGTTTTAGATCCCTTTCCTTCTAAATGCAGATACTCCAGTTAAATTTAAAAGCTATTTAGATTAGCTAGATTTAAAAATGAAATAAATGACAAATTGACAGCTCAGAAACAGCCGTAAGATTTCCACTGAAAACAAACTTCGTACACTTTTTCATTTTTTTAGATATAAATGTCTAGGTCAAATTTGGAATTTTTGCATCAAACCAACTCATTAGCCTCAAGGAGCTATCTATCCTATATCATACGTTTCATCAAACATATGAAAAAATGAGAATAAAAATTATCTGATCAAAAAAACTCTCAACATTTTGTTTCAATTCATTGTTATCCATCTTGAGTAGGCAGACATCTTAAGATAATTAACATCAGGGGTTTTGAACAAAACCAAAATTTTCTGCTGAACCTGAGTTGAGGTTTTTAAGAATATCACTAAGACGCTCTTTCCATTAATTTCTTATAATACATGGAAGTTGAAATAAAAGATTTTCTGATACTTGCAATATTCATGCACCCTTTTACATAAATATAGTTTAGCAGCCTATTGAAAAAATGTTATACTATCTTCCTATCTAGTTGTATGTTGCTCTGAAATCCCATATCTATATCTATAGCCATATAAGTACATACATATATGTATATATTTGGTATGTCTAAGACAGTTTCGATCTTACTACCCAATATGGAGATAAACCACCAATTTACCTTCCAAATAATTGTTAAATTACAGTGAATATTTTTCAGGTATTTTACAGTTTGAAAAAACATTCCCATTTGCTTTGATCCTCAGGATGACCCCTATGATGAAGGTATGTTTATTTTCTCATATAGATGAGGAAACTGAAGGTTAGAAGGAATGAAGAATATCACGCAGCTAGTGAATAAATAGGGCTCAAGCCTTGCTCAGCCAACAGTAGAACTTGTGTTCTTACCATTACATGATGCTGGAGCCCCCTGCAAGTTGAGTTATCAGACTCATGGTGAAGATTATTGAAAAGCTAAACAGGAATTGTAAGACACTTTGAGGGAAAGTTTGCAGAACACCTCAAAAGCAATGGAGGAAAGGTGAAATATGAGCAAGACAATTGTCAACCAACGGTACTTGTATATAGTTTCTGAAGGGTTTCATCAATAATATGTCTTTATAGCAACCCGTTGAGACAAGGATGATGTAATTAGTCCTGTCTTACAGAGGAAGAAACTCTGGTCTCTAGGCTTGAATGTGACAGCTGACTTTGGAATTTGAATCTACTCCTAGTTCAGTTTTCTTCTTCTATTATAAAAGTGGTTTTCAAAATATGGCCCTCAGCTCTGAGACTGGAGTGTTGCTGATGGCTGCAAAGCAATCTACAATGATTTACAGGACCTAGTTTTATAACATCTTACTGTACAAGCTCTTATCCATTTCCTCTAGAGTAAAAACTAAGTGACTGATGAAGTCTTCGAATTTGTAGATACTGTTTTTGTTAACACCAAGTTCTTTACCCACAGGAAAGTATGAATTCGTGGACATAATTTGCCTAAGTTCATTAATGTTTAGGAAACAATGCATAATGCACCTCATAAACACAAATAGTAGAAAAAGGCTTAAGTTAGTCCCTTTCTGCTATGTTCCTTCTCAGTGTTTAGGGACTTCTTGCTCCACATCCCTCTGGGTTGCTGCTATCCTGACAGTGCTCCCAATGCTCTTTGCCTAGAGTTAATAGTTCTCTGAATTGGTCTACTCCATTATTGCCAGGAATGAGCAATAATGGTTCTAGGAAAATGACGGTGGGAGAGTTTGAAGACAGGAGGAGCCCTTCTGTCAGACAGCACTGAAACAGCACAGGTAATGCCAAGTTATACAATAGGAACAAATTTGCAATCGGAATATCTATAGCAAAGCTGTTGTTTGTAGATATCTAAATCTCATTTTTTTTTTTTTTAGTAATGTTGTTTGCAAGTTGACGTGCATTTAGAAAGGAAGCACTGCAATTGTTTCAGGGCTATGGCCTCCAGAGGCCTTAATCCTGCCTTGGCTGAGGACATGAAGGCACAGGTCTTAGTCATGTCACAGGTGAAAAACTAGGAGTTGTCTGCACGTTTTTAAGGTGTCTTTCAGCTGTTGTTAGGAAATGCAGCCCTCAAACTATTCTCCCTATAGGTGATTAAAAATAGACGGGGAGGAGAGCAGGATATAGTTGCTGTTTGCAGGACATAAAAAATGCACATGCTGCTAAATTGTGCAAGCCACAGGGAACACTTCTCACAGGTGTTCCACTCTGCAGAGGTTACTCATTTGCCTCCAAGTGCAATCCAAGGTGTTGACTTGAGGCTTTAAAGACCCCTCCCCCTTGCTCTGCACATTAGGTACCTGGAGATGCCAATACTTATCTGAGCTCAGTAGTAACCACACTGTTCCCAGCTCTGAAGTACATGGCACTGGAAGCTGGGTGTTTTTCTCATGGAAGGCTTTTGCCTCTGGAATTTCCTGCCTACCCCACTCTGCCAGAACCCCACCTTACTGACCTTCAGGGACTCATGAAAGACTTGTTTTTAATATAACCTTTACTGATGGGAAGAGACCTTAAGACTGTAATTTTGTAAAAGACAATTTCAGCAATTATTGTAACTCATGTTCTTCTGGGTTATTAAGGTTTAATTTTGGTGCTGGCTTCCTGTAGCAATTTCAAATAGGGGACAGTTTGAAAAATAAACACACCAATGAGTGTCTGTTCTGAGGAATGCGTAAGTAAGGATGCCTACCTGGATGTGAAGATATTTAGAATTCTAAAAATATAAAAATTATCTGCCAGATTAATGCTACTTCTCACGCTAATACCTCAAGTGTGCTGGTGCCTGCAATAACCCTAAATTCCAAGGTGGGTAGTCAACACAACCTGCTCCTTTAGAAAGCTCTAGGATGGTGTGCCCGTGTGTTTGTCAAATCTCAAACCCACTCTGGAGAACAGCACTGGCTTTGGCTGGACGCTAAGATATTTACTCTGGACTATTATGCCAAGGCATTAACAGCTGCTGGTTTAATTATTGATGGAGTTCGTGTCAATCATCTGAGAAGAGAACCAAAGAATAATATTTAAAAATCATCTGGTTAAAAAAAAACTGTTGTAAAACACAGCTTTCTTGTCATTTATTACACTTGAAATTCTCCAGCCAAAGAAGTAATCTCAGAAAATGGCTCTTCTAAAATTATTTTTCCTTTCCCCTTAATGCCTTCTTTCCAAGAGCTCTCCCTTTCAGAATCCAGCACTTTGGCTATGTTTGTACTATTTTCACAAGATGCCCTACATCAGGGGGAACCGATGACATGTTCTGGTTCTGAAAACTTAAGCACGGAAAAGAAATTCAGAGGAGCAGGAGCCCCCCATCCAAGAGCCCTTTAGATCCACGCTGAGGCTGCGATGCCCTCAGTGCCGCGGGCCTTCCCGGTTCCGCCAAAAATGCCGAGGCTGCTGATCTGTGTGGTCTTTGAGCCGAGAGCTGGTCAAAGAGGAGAAAAAAATAGTTGCTGTGACGATCTCCAAGAAGAGAGTTTCACTCTGGCTTGACTAACGTTTGAAAAATCCGCCCCACCGCGCCCCTGGGCATCCCGGTTTTGGTACCTCTCGGCGGTTGCCAAGAATTTTCTCAGGGACTTGGGCCCGGAGGCCGAGAACCGCGAGGACCCCCGCGGTCCGGACGGAGTCTCCTCTCCCTCGCTGTGCGCGCACGCCTGGAAAGGCGGGATTTAAAGGCAGCGATGCTGCGGGAGACTCTGCAGTGTCAACGAGCCCCCGAACGGTCCCGCCTCATTCGCTTCAGTGTGTGTGCCTCGCAAGTCCCTGCCTGGTAAACCGTCACCGGCTTTGGCGCGCGGGAGAGGCGTTGGCGGGTCCCACCCCGGGGGTCCGCGGCCAGGCCGGACGCCGGGCAAGGCCCGCGCGCAGCCCCGGCCGGGCGTGCCCCGCGGGCTCCAGGCACACGCCCCTCACCTGGGCGAGGCAGGGCGCGCAGGCGCTCAGC